AGATTGTTCTGAAGACTCTGAATGGTTTTGTTGAGTGGGCGGCCATGAAGCACATCTTAGCAGACGACGGCAAGATGTTGCAGATGCTTTGTTTTCTTCTGAGGATAGAAGCATTTCAGACACCAGCTGCAGAATGTCTGTTACTGGTGCAGAAACTTAGTCAATTTTATTACATACATAAAAAATAAACTAACTACTTATTTAAATTTTACCTTAGAATGATTTTTTGCATCACTGAATATCTTGTGTAAGTTAAAACCTTGAGTACCAAGTGATCAATGTAGCCTATTTGAGGTACTACCTTGGGATTTTAGACAGGGGTTCAAATAAAAGTTAAAGTGCACCTAAAACCCTTCTACACTGTGTAAAACGTGTTGTTTTATCACGTAAGAAGAGTATTAATATTACATTTTACTTGAATTAGAAGACTAACGTTTTAAATAAAGATTTTGTTTACTTAAACCAACTTTTAGTGTACGGCATGACAAATTTTTGGGGGGACATAGCTTGCACAGTAGTTTTTGGTAGCTAAGTCCTAGCTGAGTGTATTTTTTCCCAATGGTCAATATTGAGAAGGATTTTCAATTGGCTCAGAATGTTGTTAACCAAAGGATAAAAAAAAATTATCACAGCCAAAGGGATCCGGCCATGGGCAGCCTCTTTGTACAATAATTTGACTCATTATGAGTTGTCAACAGACATGATCTTCTCCTTTAGAAAAGAAAATACAATGAATCACTCGAAATCATTCTAACCTTATTTAAGTTATAAAAAAACCAACCTTACAAGATTAATTTTAAGTCTGTTGTTGATTGCTGAAAAGCTGCAACTTATTTTAAATGTAGCCAAGTTGAGAATCTTACACTGTTGCCTTGAAAGTAAAATATTCAATCATCCTGTTGCAGATTGTCTCCAGAAAGTGCAAGGCAGAAGAAAGTAGGTCTTTGCTGATTCTGATCAGTACAGAAGCTCTCGCCTGTATGTTCCATGCTGCTGGCGTGGCTTCTGAGAAAATAATTGAAAATGAAAATCACTACGGATTCCTAAAAAAACTAATTGAGGTAAAACAATATTCTTTTGTTAATATATGTGCCTAGCACAATATTCTATAAGTAGAAATCCTTAAAAAACACATAAGTTAGACCAAACACATGTACTGTCCACAATAGGTTTAGAGTGGAAATCTGTACGGAATATACGGAAAATGTGTACGGATAAAATGTTTAATCTTTTTATTAAATACAGTAGAACCTGACATTATATCTAGTGTGGTAGAGGTGCCAATTCATTGTTAAAGATGGTTGGATTCTCAGGGAAACATAAAACTAGGATATTAGTTGCCAAAATTTAAAATAAGGACCACAAAATTAATAAACTCATTTACTTTGAGACATATACAATATTTACGTAAGAACTAAGGCTTCCAAGATAACTAACACTACCTCTATCAATGTTGTCTTCAAGGTTCGACCACATCACAAACACTTTAAACTAAATGCTGACATTTCAGCTTCCCCAAAGAAAGCCATCATCGGAGCACATAACCAGAATAGGCATCTGGTGCTACTACTGTTGCTACGCTAGAGGTTGGACCATCTCGGCCAATCCCAATAATTAATCTAATAATGTTAAAATGTGATTCTACCCACAGTTAAGATACCTAATGGAATTTTAAAAGGTGTCCGGAAAGTTTGCCTGGTAAAAAACTCAAATAGTTGTTGTGGTCTGGATTCGGTAGCAAATCTCACGTTTTATTGTTTTAGGATTTGAAGATTTCTCAATATTACCAATGTTTAAGTTTTTAGGAATTGCAAATCAAAATGGTCCTAGCTTCTCCATGTACATAGAAGTGCCTTACCTTCACCTACCACCCCTCACTTACTGTGACGCACTAACACTTAGGTAGGTGTTGACAGCTATAAATAACTTCTCTATGTACCTGGAGGATATTGTTACCATCCATCCCTTACTGTGGCTCACTAACACTGCTTATGGTTTACAGTTGTTGGCAGCTATGGGGATGCAACTTTCTTCTCATTGGGGCAAGGAGGAGTGGGCCTCTACTCCATTGAACTTCTCCATGTTCTTGGAGGCTACAGTAAAATTTGCCCAGCACCCTTCCCATACTATAGCCTTCCACTCAAACTCTGTGTGGAATGCTTACATAAAGCATGAAGTTATTTCTAAAGACTCGTTGTTCATCAGCTATCTACCCAAGTGGATTGAAGCAATCGCTTCAAAAATATTAAAGGTGAGGAAATGTTCATGTTTTGTTTTGTTTTGTTGTTCAACATATACTTATCAGTCATTGATTGTTAGCCATTCAGTTGTGCTATGGAAGAAGAATGTGGTTAATTTAGAATAAGTTGCCCCACCAAAAAAGCCTTTGGGTTAATCAGCAGTATGCTTTAGAAGTACTGATGTTCCTGGGCCAAATTACTTTAGTTGAATAAAACAAGGTGATTGTTCCCCCCCCCCCCCCAAACTTTTATGTCATATCTCAAAATTAAATTGAATTAAATCTAAATATATTTAGAAATCTATTTGATTGTATAAAAAAACATAAATCTGTATTTCTTTTAAAATTTTCTTACCTTTTTGTGTTTTTAGGTGGTCTTTCCCTCAAACAAAATTGAAATCAGTGCCAACGATGCTGTACTGTACTCACTTATAGATTATTGCTCTGAGGAAGAATTCAATATATTCTTTGACAAATGCCGTGCCAGTATATTGAATACCTTCAAACAGGTAGGCACAGTGCCATGTCCTTTCTGACTTTTAATATGGTTTATAATGGACAATTTGTAACTATATAGGTATAACATATGTATTCTGAATCCATTTATTTTAGTCTTAAATTAACACAGAGGTTGTGGTTGAGTACCCCCTACCTGATATATTCTCCAAAATATATAGTACCAACATTTTGTTACTTTTTTAACAAAAAGCATTGTAAATACTGTAGTAAATTCAGTGGCAGCTGGTCCACAAGAACTCTGGAACGTAGAACTCCCATTTCCAAGACAATAGCAAAAATAATAATAATGAATTACATATGAATTTTATTCCTACATTTGAATGTATTTTACATTAAAGTAAGCAGGATCAATGTTTTTAGGACAGGTGATAATAAAAACAACATGTTTTTGCCATAGCTAGTACACGGGGACTCAGTAGATATTGGTCCAAACTCCCATATAAATCATAAATCTTAATTGGTCATTAAATAACAGAGTTACAATAGACCTCGTCAACAATGAAAAAAGTGCCAAAAAGGGCCATAGATTCAAGATAGATTTTATAAACACAGCCATTAAAACTTCAAGACTGACACAGGTACAGAAATCTAATATCACTGAATTAGCCTGAAATGTAAAGGGGAACCTACACTAAATATAACAAAGATAACGAGAAAATAAATAGTTAAAATTGTTTGAAAAACACAGAACTATATACAGAAACAAAAAGTGAGGTACTTAAACAAAGTTTTTGAAAGACTGGGTAACAGTTGACTAGGGACTCAATTACAATTGTGTTCTGCGAAAAATTCATCTTAACTGTAAAAAGGGTGGTCGGCAAGCCAAACTATCAACTTTTTTTAGCTGAGTACAAGGAATGTCAAGTATTTCACTTGCAAAGCAATTCACTATTTTTACAGATATACTAGCTAAACTTTGCTGTACTGTTGCTAGTCTGGTGTAGGGCCTTATCAAAGCAGATCTTCCCCTTGTGCAATATGAGTGAAAATCGTTTCTAGAGCTAAATAAATGAGGATTTTGTTTTACAAAAATAACACACTCTAATATATACAAATTTACAGTTGTCAGGATACCTGTTGCTTTAATAAGAGGTTTACAATGGTCCCTTAACCCTCAATTGGTCAACAGTCTCACAGCCTTTTTTTGAAGCTTTAAAATTATTAGAATGTGGGTGAAGTTACCCCACAGTAACAGACCATACTTTGACAGACTTTGGAAAAAAGCAAAATACGCAGATATAACATACAAAGGGGGAACAAAATCTCTAAGACGTCTAATTAAAATAAAACTCTTGACAATTTCTTACTTAAGTTATATAAATGGGTTGACCAGATTAAGTCGCTATCCAAATATATGCTAATAAATTTACACTTGACAAAAAATTCTTTTCTTCCTCAAGTGTGCGACATAACCTAAATTACCATAGTTTGAGTCTTTTCAGGATTCATAAAAAACCCATTGACATTGAATCAGTTCCTAGCTTCATTGAGGGAAAGTTTGGACAACACCATGAGTTCACTAAAGGTACCTTGACTATTAAGAAAGTTGAGTCATCCATATAAATCACAGAGGTACAGGACATACATTTATCCAAATCATTAATCATTATAAGGAAAAGAACTGGGCCTATCACCGAGCCCTGGGGCACTCCACAAAAAACCTCACTCTCATTTGACAACATACCCACAACATCAACCTGCTGGCTGCGGTCTGATAAGCAGGACTTAAAAAGATTGAGTTCTGTGCCACGGATACCGTAGTGCTCAAGTTTATTCAAAAGTTACCTATGGGGAACACAATAGAATGCTTTACTCAGGTCAACTAGAGTTGCCTGGGTAAAAGAGGCGTTTTCATCTGAATTTAGCACATGCTGCACCAAGCGCCTTACCGCATCTGTGGCACATCTACCCGTTTGAAACCCAAATTGCCAATCAGATACCAGGCCATGGTATTCAAAAATACTTAATTAATTGTGATTTTATTATGGTTTCAAACACTTTGCCAATCACAGGAACTAACGAAATGGGCCGGTAACTACTAGGATTCTCCCTCGGACCCTTTTTGTAAATTGGAACAACTTTTGAAAACTTCAGTTTTTTTGGGAAAAAGCCAGAGAGCAAGCAGCAGTTAATACTTGCAGTGAGTGGCAACAAGATGTACACCATTATAAGCTTAAGAAGGTTAGAGGACATACCATATGCATCTGTGCTGAAAGACTTGACTTACTTGACTTATCTCCTTTCACTCCTGCGCGGAGCATAGGGCCTCCACGAAAAAACGCCATCGGACTCGGTTGGCAGCCAAGGCTCTCACTTCCCTCCAGTTTTTCCCTGCATCTCTTATTTCTTCTTCTATAGTTCTTCTCCAGGTCATTCGAGGCCTTCCTCTTCGTCTATGCCCCTGAGGATTCCAGCTCAAGGCCTGCCTCTCTACAGCATCTGGATCTTTACGAAGAGTGTGTCCAACCCATCGCCACTTGCGTTTTTTAATCTGTATCCCTACAGGTTCTTCATCTGTATCTTTCCACAGCTCTCTGTTTGAAATAACCTCTGGCCAGTAGATCTTCAGTATTTTTCTCAAACATCTGTTGATTAAAACTTGGAGCTTTTGTGTCAAAGATGAAGATACCTTCCAAGTCTCACACCCATATAGAAACACAGACTTGACGTTGCTACTAAATATCTTCAACTTGGTTCTGGTTGAAATGTCACGAGCCTTCCACACTGGATACAGCTGTACAAAAGCAGCATTAGCTTTAGTAATTCTTGACATTACATCTTCATCAGCTCCTCCGGCTCTTGTTAAGACACTTCCCAGATATGTAAATCTGTCCACCTCTTTGATTTCTTCATCTGACATTCTGAAACTGTTGTTATTCGCTACATTTATCCTCATTGATTTTGTTTTCTTTACATTTATTTTTAAGCCTGTAGATTGTTCACTTTCCAAATACTGCAACTTTGCTGTCATGTCATCAAATCTATGGGACAGGAAACAAATATCATCAGCAAAGGCCAGTTCTTCAAGCCTCTGTGCTGAAAGAGGATTTCATATTATGCACAACACTATATACTTCCTCACAAGACACAGCACTGAACTTGAAGGATGATGGAGAAGCTGGTGTATTCTCAAGTAGTGAAGTAGAAGCAGCAATCGAAGGTGTCACCAGTGCCGCCGTATGCTCCACAGATGACGCGAAGAAATCAATGAAGATATAAACTGTGTGGAAGAATTTGATTAATCACAGCGCTACATGAGGCTCTAATCCAATAGATATCTGGAATTTTGGACCCCGTTCTAGTAGTTTTAACTATTGACACACTGATCGGTTCAGGGAGACCCAATTTGATATTTCCACCAAAAATTAAAATTCAAAAATTTTGACAAAAAAGTACTTTCTCCTATATTATGCATTGAGGTAAGAAGTAAAAATGAACAGTTGCTAAATTTTTTTTACAATAAGTGTGATGTTTGCAGGCTGCTTTGGTCGCACCACAGGTCATCTTCACTTACGTACAAGGTTGGCTTACACAGAGGGTACACAAGACTATGACCATCCCTGAGCCAATGTGTACAGTGCAGTCTGCCTCATACATAGAGTGGGAGGCACTCTCTTTGGTAATATACTAAAATATCTTATGAGTACATATAACATTTTTCAAATCTATTAAGTTTTTGAACCACTAATTTTGACCCTAAGATACCTGAGTGTAATTTAATGACAATTCTGTAGTCAGTTGTTTTCTTTTGCTACAAATTGCTTCAGTCTTTGGAAAATTTTATTTTTGTTAGTATTGTTTGCTCAAAGTATCAATTATCAATTATCAATTATCAATTATTTAAGATGGGGACGCCACTATGTGCGTATTTTAACCCAAATATGAGTGAAGGATGAGTGTAGGATGAGTGGCGCGATCTTGTAGTCTTGTTAGTGACTAAGGCCGACATGTTCCTTAGACACAGCTGTTAATTAATAGCCCATACAGCTAATGGCAACTAAGGGACCTACAGTTTATAGTGGAATCCGAACCACATTTTTCCTTGTAATTTACGAATTGGTCTAATTATCAGGATAGTACTGCGGATAGTCGTAGTACTCACTAGTGCGGACGTTAATCCACACCAGTGAGCATCGCATCCACAGTGCATCCCTATAAATATCCACAATTCGTGACCTCCTAGTAGCTGGATTACAGGACGACGCCACCCGTCCCAGTCAATTTGCATGCCAAGATAGTATACATTCTATTTAGTTTTTTGACATATTAATTTAGTGTTAAGACAGTATTTAGATTATAGACACAAGTAAAAATGTGTTTTTTACTGCCTGATGATATGCTGATATGCTGACTGAAGAAACATATCGGTTCTTGAATCTTTGTATGAGTTGCTCTCATCTTGCTGCATTTTGGTTTTAGAATCCAAGCTGCAGTAGATAAGTTATTGAACTTGATAATCTTTTTGAATTTAATGCAAATATTAAATTCAGACTAAATATCTGAATGCCAAAAAGGACATCTTGGTATGCTATCTAAAGAAAATGCAGACTCTTGAAAAATTTTTACAGTTGCTAAAACAAGCTGTTAATTAATGTTTCCTACAACTTGTTTTCAGTAATAAAGTTGCATTGTGTAATAAGTTAATGGATGACCTTTTTTGCTATGTCCGAAAAGCAGACCAAGTATCAATTTTCTAAGCAGGATTGTATTAAGTTTGCAACGACTGACCCATAAACTTTGGTCTGGATGCTTTGTTTCTATCTCTTACTACTTAGTTATAGAACCATGCTTTAAGGGTTTGTAGGCCAGACTATTACTAAGGCCGGTCTGTCATGATGACCTTCAAGTCTCTTGGCCAAAATGTGGTTGCTTCGAAGAGCATTGATTAACCCGTAAGCGCGCGCACGGGGGCCCCAAATAAAAATAGGCATATAAAAAAAGTTTTTGAATTTAGCTTTGAACTTTAGACATAATATCGATATTCGTTTTCTTATATTGTTACGTAAATTTTATGATCCTACCATATCCTTTAACTATTTTGAAAATAATAGTTTGAACCCTTAATATTTTCATGATGAAATGTGATAATGGTTTTGAAGAGGGCAAAGAGGGCTAGACGTTTGTCTGGGCCTGGAGCCTGAGAATCCTCTAATATTGTGTATACTGTTGACAGGTCCTAGACGGTGTACTCAGCAAGATAGTGATGTGTTCAGAGAGGCCACCTGCCAGTGCTGGACTACGACTGCTGGACATTTGTCTGGGCCTGGAGCCTGAGAATCCTCTAATATTGTGTATACTGTTGACAGGTCCTGGACGGTGTACTCAGCAAGATAGTGATGTGTTCAGAGAGGCCACCTGCCAGTGCTGGACTACAACTGCTGGACGTTTGTCTGGGCCTGGAGCCTCAGAATCCTCTAATATTGTGTATACTGTTGACAGGTCCTAGACGGTGTACTCAGCAAGATAGTGATGTGTTCAGAGAGGCCACCTGCCAGTGCTGGACTACGACTGCTGGACATTTGTCTGGGCCTGGAGCCTGAGAATCCTCTAATATTGTGTATACTGTTGACAGGTCCTAGACGGTGTACTCAGCAAGATAGTGATGTGTTCAGAGAGGCCACCTGCCAGTGCTGGACTACGACTGCTGGACATTTGTCTGGGCCTGGAGCCTGAGAATCCTCTAATATTGTGTATACTGTTGACAGGTCCTAGACGGTGTACTCAGCAAGATAGTGATGTGTTCAGAGAGGCCACCTGCCAGTGCTGGACTACGACTGCTGGACATTTGTCTGGGCCTGGAGCCTGAGAATCCTCTAATATTGTGTATACTGTTGACAGGTCCTAGACGGTGTACTCAGCAAGATAGTGATGTGTTCAGAGAGGCCACCTGCCAGTGCTGGACTACGACTGCTGGACATTTGTCTGGGCCTGGAGCCTGAGAATCCTCTAATATTGTGTATACTGTTGACAGGTCCTAGACGGTGTACTCAGCAAGATAGTGATGTGTTCAGAGAGGCCACCTGCCAGTGCTGGACTACAACTGCTGGACGTTTGTCTGGGCCTGGAGCCTGAGAATCCTCTAATATTGTGTATACTGTTGACAGGTCCTAGACGGTGTACTCAGCAAGATAGTGATGTGTTCAGAGAGGCCACCTGCCAGTGCTGGACTACGACTGCTGGACATTTGTCTGGGCCTGGAGCCTGAGAATCCTCTAATATTGTGTATACTGTTTACAGGTCCTGGACGGTGTACTCAGCAAGATAGTGATGTGTTCAGAGAGGCCACCTGCCAGTGCTGGACTACAACTGCTGGACATTTGTCTGGGCCTGGAGCCTGAGAATCCTCTAATATTGTGTATACTGTTTACAGGTCCTGGACGGTGTACTCAGCAAGATAGTGATGTGTTCAGAGAGGCCACCTGCCAGTGCTGGACTACAACTGCTGGACATTTGTCTGGGCCTGGAGCCTCAGAATCCTCTAATATTGTGTATACTGTTGACAGGTCCTAGACGGTGTACTCAGCAAGATAGTGATGTGTTCAGAGAGGCCACCTGCCAGTGCTGGACTACGACTGCTGGACATTTGTCTGGGCCTGGAGCCTGAGAATCCTCTAATATTGTGTATACTGTTTACAGGTCCTGGACGGTGTACTCAGCAAGATAGTGATGTGTTCAGAGAGGCCACCTGCCAGTGCTGGACTACAACTGCTGGACATTTGTCTGGGCCTGGAGCCTCAGAATCCTCTAATATTGTGTATACTGTTGACAGGTCCTGGACAGTGTACTCAGCAAGATAGTGATGTGTTCAGAAAGGCCACCTGCCAGTGCTGGACTACAGCTCCTAGAATTTTGTCTGGCCTTGGATTCTAAGGATCCTCTCATACTGTCTCTACTGTTAACATGCATTTCTGCATTGTTGGTCTTCCTCAACATGGTACCTGCTGAGTCTGCAACGGTAATGTTACTGACAGGATATTTGTCAAAATTTAGAAACCAAAAGATTTTTAAAATTGTCAAGTATAGGTGCACAATTATTGTCCATAATTTTACATTCCGGTATTTAGTTAAAGACTGTACAATTTTATTTCAGATATAGTCTTTTTAGTTTTTCCGATAGCTTATTCATAGGGATCTCTTATAAGTAAGTACACAACATTTAGGTAAAGGTTTTATGGGTGAAAATAAAACAAAAATGAAAAATATATTTTTCCAGAAACGACTTGTTGAATAGATATTACCCATTTTCTTATAACTATTAAAGATATTTTTATTAAATGTGATATACGATTTGAAGTAACAATAACTAATACAAAATAATATCATTAAAATATTTTTTTAACAAAGTTTGGCGTCCATTTTAATTTTTATAGCTCAAATTACGGATCTGTAACTTACATAGTATTTAAAATTGTCTATCAAGGATACCAAGTTCAAAAAGACTAAGTAACAAATATAGCTTAAATATCACCCTAAAAGCATGGCCTTATTTGCCAACTTAAATTTCTTGAACTTAAAATGATATTAAATATTTCAGAAGAACTGTATTAAATATTTTATTAATAATTAATCGCCATTTAATAAGAAAGTATTACACCTCGGTGTAAAATTCTACTCATAAAGACCATTAATTTGATATTCATACTATTCTAGGCTTACTTTAGAAATTTTCTTCTGACTTCTAGTGGGTCCCTCTGATGAGGTAGTGTAGAGTATCACATCTTTAACTCATTATTAAGCCCAGTACCTACCAAGTTTTGTAGCTCTATCTTGATTTTTTTTCAAAATATTTTACCAGAATATTTTACCACCCTGCATGGCAAGTAGTGTTAGATAACATGATTTATTTCATCTATATAGTATCACAATACCTTAACACCTATCAAGCTAAATAATTAAGTTATTTGTTTTTCAGTCTTGAGATACCAAAGAATAATATTCATTGATTCTAAATCCAATTAAATTTTTTCAACATCTTGAGCCTATCTTTAGCTCCACATTATTAAAAAGTCCTGTCAGGAAGTGGATTGGTCTTTTTGGTCATCGACTCGGAATTTCTTGGATTCTTCTTAACCAGGCAGACCTTTTGTGTTGTCCAGTCAACATATGCGAAAAAATAAGTGAAAAAACATAAAAAGCACTTAATTACTAATCTTGCATCCGGCAGCTACAAATCTCTGTAATGGCAGGCCATTTTTTAATGTATGTACATAGGTTACTTTAGAGCTGTATAGATAGATTGTGTTCTACCATTCTATATATACTGTTATATATTTTCTTTTTCAGTACGTACAAGGAACAAATTTAAACCATTCACAGATCAAAAAAGGAATTTGTAGAACTGTTTACTTGTAAGAACAAAAACTAGAAAATGGGCCTGTAAAACTTTTCCAAAATAGAGGCTAGGGAACTTTTTATTAGAAATCCAAGATATGCAAAACTTTTAGAAACTGAATCTTTACATAAAAAAAAAACAAAAAAAACAAAATAAAAATGTCATGTTTATTATTATTTGTATGTAAACATTATAAGAGAATTTTACGTCACACCATGCTAAACACACAGTTGCATCATTCAACATTTTTATTCTCAACTTTCAAAATATTTGTTACGTAACGGCAACTAAACAAATTATATTATAAAATAATGGTTAGAATCTACTGCGTAAAATGATATAAAGCAATATCTAATAGGGTGATGTTTTCTGTTGAAACATAGCTTTAAAAAAATTAATGCTCAAACGTCTAGTGACTAGTCTTTTGCCGGATCCCCCAACAACGGGGCAAATGATCTTATAATTTGTGAAATTATTATTGTTTTTTGCTGCAGAACTATCTTCCAGGGGTTCTGGATAAAATATTCAACGCTCTGGTGTTCGAAATGCCTGTGGAGTCCAGGTCATCTGATTCTATCAAGAACATTCACCATCACGCAGCCTCTTTGATAGTAAAAATGGCACAGAAGTATTCACCGCTGCTGCTGCCCTTTTTTGATAGGATTAAAGAGCTTGTTACTGATTTGGAGAAAAAGGCTGTGGCTACCAGCATACTTGAATTCACCAGCTTAAAAGTGAGTGTATGTTTGCTAGCAAAATTCCATTCTGATTTGTATTACAATTCTCACCTAATTTTATGTTATGAGATCTGGGGCTGTTAGTTCCATTTACATATTTGGGAAATCCCTTAGTATGGACAGGTAGGTGTCCAGGCTCAGTCTGCTACCCAACCTCAAATGTAGTGGCAGCACGTTTACTATCTTGTTTGCTATCTTTTTAAATCTTGTTTGCTTAAAAGCAGGCTTGTATTATACGCAACCTCGTTGTGCACTTGATATTAATAATAACGATTCTGTAGTTTTCATTGGTATTATGGCAAGTGATTTGTTAATTTCTAACTTCATGCTCCAGTGGAAGTAGGCCTAAACTACATACCCTATTAAAAGTCTGATGATGAGGAAATGATCAAAACTGTTAAGTTGCTTTATAGAAGTAAAAAGTAACAGCTTGGCATTACCATTATTATTTCCTATTATTATTTATTCTATTCCCTAAGGCATGAACAATAAAATTGTGGAACTGTTGCCAGGAAGCCCTGCTGCTTATCAACAACCAGTTCTGTGATTACGAAAGACAAAGGGAGTTTGTGGGGGAGGTGTTGAGGCCAGTGGGGGAGCACTGGCGGGTGATGACCTCTGAAGTGTTCACCTCTACAGAGGTGTTCATGGCGTTCGTGGGACTCGACAAGCCTCCCGTCGAACCCAGTAAAAACGATACAAATTTCCACAACAGATTTCAGGTCAGCCAACATCACAACACTTGTGACAGGAATTACCTAATCCGTAACCATTGAATTTACATAATTTGTTATGTCCCACCTTCATATCTTAAAATTGTAGGTTCTAGCCCAGGTTTGGCTATGAATATGTAGTTCAAAAAGCCTGTTGTGTGTCTTATCTCCTTATGCTTGACTGTACAGATGTCAAGAAAATGTTTTTATCTTTTCGCGTAGATTTTACTGTCTGTCCTGAAAGTCCTTTACTATTTGGTTTCAAGTAATAGTTTACAGATAAGGGGTTTTATTTAGTTATAATAGTTGAAATTAAATAAGTAAACACAACTGTAAATTTTAATGAAAGATTTTTTCAATACTGTATTGTATTTTTATACAATTAACTTGAACTTATCCGAGGTTTTAGTTAGAGCTACATGTTCCTAAACCAAGTAATATTTTTGAATGATAAAACTTATAGGTTTTCTCAAGATCCACTTAGACTTGAAGCCGTGGCACCTATTGCTCATTTCAATCTATCGTCATTTGTAATAACGAATCAGAAACTCAATTATGAGTTTTTCTCATATAAAAACCCCTCTTGTAAGTTTAATCTGTATTCATGGGTGTTTCTTGTGTTACAGATCATGTACACTGTTGATGTCTTGAGTGCAGTGGTCAGACATTGCACCTGGCCAGATGACCCTGAACGAGCTCTGACAGGAGGTAATACTGGAGTGTTGATCATGGTTTTTACATGGTTTTGTTGTGAAGATGTTTCATATTTGTACAAATCTTTGGCAGTTGAATGTAGTTAAGATTCATCTTGGTAGTTAATCTTGGGTTATTTGCCATTAAGTTGTGTTGATTTTTTTATCTAGTAAAACAATTAAACCTCAATAATAAGAGTTATTTTGAATCAACCTTTTTTTCAAATCCAACTGCTAAACTGTGTTTGCAGACTGTCAAACAAGGGCAAAATATTTTGTATTTAGATACAATTTTATACCAGGGGAACTTAAATTTTTATTGCAAATTAAATATTCAACCGAATTTATTTTAGTCCATACACTTGTGACAAATGATAGGACTAATTACCAACTCTTACCTAAAACTTGGGATTGTTCGAGTAAGACTATTTTTTTGTACGCTGTGAAAAGTAGCGAAGATCGGCTGACAATACAGTATTGTCCGATGTTGGCATCCAACATTCGGCCGCATTCTTTTGGAGAATTTTCCTATTGGGAAGTGGCTATTACCCTAGGTGGCATGGTTACAACTAGGCCCGGGTCCTTACTTTTTTTTATATCCCCAGAGGCCAAAACACCATTTGTTCAAATTTTTATATATGTAGATATAAATATATATATATACGTCCGTGAAAACACGACCCTCAAAAATGAAGAAAAATGGCAAAGTTTGTAATTTCCCAATTATTTCTAGACCTTTTTAAAGAGCATAAAAAACTAATAATTTAGTATATCAAAGTGTTTTTGTACACTTATTGGTAACGGAGAAAATAAAAAAATTCAAATTTAAAATTCCCATGTTATTCTTATGGAGAATAGTGTAAAATGTTGTAGTATGCTTGTTTATTGATATTTTTTTGTCAAACTTGGCAAATTTATTCTTTTTATACTTAGCTATTAATATTTTACTAAAAAACACACTTTATTAGTTTCTTTGTAGCAGCAAACTTAGGTACTTATTATACCTAATGTTATTGAAATACATTTAATTAAAAATCAATTCAGAAAAATTGAAATTTTCTTAGTCGGCAGGTTTGCTGCCGTATTTTTCTAGGGTATTTCTTATTTAATTCTTCCGCATTTAATGTTATCATTCATTTTAACCTAGATGATTGAAAGCTTGAATTGGCTATTGGATAAAAAGTAATATCAAAGAAGTTTGATCAATAGTCAAAACTTGAAAGGTAATTGAGTATTAATTTATCTGAGTTAAAGGTTAGGAATTTGTAATGACAGAATTGGTAATTAAATGATGACCATAGTACATTTTAAAACTTTTAATATTTAGATGGCAAATCATTAATACTTGGGAAATAGGTAGAACAGTGGTTCGAAAGTCCATTACAGAAACATCAATTCTATGATGTTTAAAATTTTAAACTGACTTTGTTATACTACTGTGGTATTCCTTCATTGTTAAAACCACACATTAGTAAAATTCCACAAGTCTCAATAATGCAAAAACTTCACATTGTACAAGTTTATTTTTTTAATTTCTTGAACCTTGAAATATACTGGGAAGCTTGTACAAATAAACCTAGGTCAACTAAATTTTGTTTGTCTCAAAATATCTTTAAAATCTTTAAATATCCTCAAAATTCTTAAAAATATTTAAGCAAGTCATTTCCAAACTTTTGAATGTTTGAAGAGGTTCCGCCGGACCCCCTCCTGGCCGCCTCGGTGACTCCCCCCCACCAGAATATAGGTCTAGGATAGGTTCTTGCTGTCAAAAGATTATCGTAAAAAATATTGCACAGCCCAATGAGCATACAAATTGTTAAAAATAGTCAAAAGCTGTATTACAATTGTACAACAATTTTAAAACATTTTGATTTTTCCATCATATTACAATGATTTTAATATAAGATTGAAACAATCTTTTAATTATTTAACAATCAGTTTTTTTGCAATGAAAAAAAATAGTGTTTATATTTAAAACATTTTTAAAATTGTTTTTTATTAGTTTTGTTATAAAAACCTTTCCAATCAATATTTAAATTGTTTACAGAACTATTTTACAATTGTTTGTGTAGTTCTTATAAAACAAGTTTCAATAACTTTGAAATCAATTTTCTTAATAATATTTAAATATAAAAAAAAAACTATGAAACAATCAATTGTTTGTGTAGTTCTAAGTTTCAACAATTTTGAAATAAATGTTTTATTTGTTTGATTTTTCATGTTGTTTGATTAAATATAAGATGTTTAATCTTAATTAATGGTTTGCATCCCTGTTTTGGCCGTTTTTAAAATCGCTTGCATTTAAATTGGATATATTATACTAGGTAAATAACGTTATTTATAACCTATACAGTAAATAGGTTTTATCTACCATGTTTAAATAACAGCTTATAATGTTTAAATTTGTTGTTTGAAAATTAAATGAAGAAAATATTAAAATACATAAAAGATTATGTTTTGTGTAAAGATAAAGCATTGTAGTTAATTAATTCTTCTTATAAAGCTTTTTTTTTTTTTTTTTTTTGAAAATGTAATACAATTGTTTATAATTCCGTACCAGTTATTACATCATGCATATTGAATTACTTGAAAAGGTATGTTCATAATGCATAAGATACCGTTTTTTGTTGTAACTAATGGTAATTAATTCATCTATATTCAAATACCAGCATCCTCCCCAAATCCCAGAAAAACAATTCAACAACTTGTTGCACAAACAGAATCATGGAATAAAAAATATTTCAAGTATTGCAACCGTTGCAACTGTCAGCTCCTTTTTCACCAATAGAAAACATGAAATATCATATCATCAATCACAGATATCTCAGAGGGAAGGTAAGGGGTTCATAAACTGAAGGTCTCAGGTTCAAGAGCAGTCGGGGATAAGATATATTTTTTTTATATTTTTTATCAAAATTTGTTTTTATGAACTATTTAATCAAAGTACTCAACTGATAATTCTAGTATCATATATGTCAGTAATCTCTCATTCTCTTTAACTGAGCCAGGCAACCACTTATACTCCTGCCAACACAAAAATACCGTACTTATACTCTCATCAATTTTACTGTCGGTTTTTAATAGGGCCTTAATTTTCAATATATTCACTGCTGAAAAAATTTGTAATTTTCAATTTAAATTTTCTCCATCATTATGAGGACCTGGAACATTAATAGCAATAGTGTTGGGAGAGGGAGGGGATGATATGGGGAGGGTGGGGGGGAAAGACCCAAGGCCATATAAAATACTAGACTTGTGGTTTACTAGTTAATACTTGTGCAGCACAACTTGCAAACAATACTCCAACACAACAATAACCATTTTTAAGAGGTTACTTTGTTGCTTGGATCAGGATTTTGATTTTGAATCCAACTTAAATCAAACTTAACTTGAAACTAGCTTAAAATATAACTCAAGATCTTATACTCATGTTGACGTTATAAGGCTATGTAATGCAACATACTGAAATTCTGCTACGTTTAATCACACTCAATCAACAGACAGTAAAAGGCCCACCAGGTGACCGGGAAACCAGGCTTTGCTAGCAGGAAAACCGGGAACAATTTGTACATTTTTCAGGAGTTTGTTTGGGTTACTTGGGGTGTATCTATTACTCCTGGGATTCTTAATTTTCTCAGGTAAGCTAAATTAACTTTTGATCTCTTTCCAAATAGCTAAGTAAGTAAGTAATTATGGTGTTGTAGGGTTTGTTATCGGAAGGACAGACTCAGGTGACCCTATCTACCGCAACCCTGCCACACCCCACCTGCTGCCTCTACTGCCTGGAATTCTAAATCTCATCAAAATGTTCAACTCTCTGTGGACGCCTGAGGCCCAGGGGCGGGTTTATCCAGTGAGTATACAGCAATACAGCAGTCTGAACTGATTTAGTACAAAAATTGCTAAATTATTTTCCGATTTTCCTCAAGGGTGCATCCTTCCTCTTGTTAACATTCAAGCAGCAGATGTCAAGTCCTCTGTATTTTATTTACACAGTAATTTTGTGTAAGTACTTGTATTTATACAATCCATCATGTTGTAAAGAGGGAACATGTTTTTACTAGTTTTGATCCCAAGTAACTTGGTACCGGTATAGATTTGTTTTTACAGTAGAACCTTGATAACAAGACTCTCATGGGGATTGTAAAATTTGACTTGTTACCAAGGTTGACTTCTTATTGAGGCTTGTAATAACATGTGATTAGAGGTAAAATAAATCTAAGGGGATTTGAAAATGCCACTTGTTATCAAGGGTGACATGTTATCGAGGATCTTCTTATCAAGGTTCCACTGCATTGTTCCTCTTAATATCCTTTAAACTGAGCCTGAAAATGACTCAATCTCAAAGAGTAGTGCTGCAGTCTAGCCAGACAAATATCAATGTAGTCTTCATGCTGGTACGGCATGTTGTTAAATTAATAATTATTGTTTGTTGTTTAATTAATGTAATGTCCCATATAGCTGACTGTACAGTAAGTGTGTAGTCAATCGCTTGAACTCAAAAAGTTACATTCAATAATGATCATCTGTTTAAGAGTTTTAAAACTTTTTTAGGATTATAGACTTACCTAGTTCACTCTGGAACTAGAAACACAAAAGACTTGCCATACAAAAATGTTAGAAACCAAATGTCACTGTCCAGAGCTTAAACTGGACTTGTAATATATATATATATAGTTGATGTTATGGTTTGTGTTTGCCAGTGGCGTAACTTACGCCAATGCAACCAATGCAGTGCATTGGGGCGCAGGCTTTGAGGGGGTGAAGGCCCTTAGGGGGCACAAAAAACTGATAGGCTATTCTGGAAAATGTTTAGCAAAAAATATGTTGAAGCAAAACTCCCTGTAGCTTACCGAAAATAAATTGACTCTTTTGTTAACTATCATCGTTAATCTCCTCGGCACAAGGGTCCACATCTGCGCTTTGCGCTTACCACGTTCTTATCACAAGAATAGACTGCTCTTGTTTATTTATCGTTGTTTATGCTTTGGTCAACAAATTTTTTTGCTTTAGAAATGTATGTAGTCAAAGACGATATCAAAAGTAATAAGCAAAATCAGCCAGTTGGCTGATTATGTATCTGTTGATTAGGAATAAGTTTATTGCATCAAGTGTGCCAAGCATATGTACAGTATTCATAATGTTTCTTACATTACCCGTAACTGTGAAGAACTACTTAAGGAATTCTATGCCCAATACTAGACTATGAGATCTTAGTTTAATTAGTATTGAACATTCAGAGCTTGGTCTTTTGATGTAGAAAAGTTAGCAAGACTGTTCCTAGAAATAAAGAGCTTTGTCAGGGAATAGGAATTAACGTACAGTGTTGTCGTTGTCATCCTGCTTACTGCACAAACCTCTGCCACCGTCCCTTCCACAGCACTGAGCAGTGTGATGACCTTCCATCATTAGCCTTAATCCTCACACTCATTTAGATGACTACGTGTAGTCCCACAGAAATCTGGTTCATCACTCAAATCCCTGTGTCGTTGTAGTACTCAGGAGGACTCCCTTTGGCACTCAAGTCTGGAGCTTGGATCACCCACCTACAGTGAACAGCTACAGGCTGAGGCTCCAACCTCATCTGGTCTTTCCTGCAGGCTCGATATACATTGTGTCCCAAATCGCTACTACACACGAGAGTTGTCCACCCCATTCATCGCCACTGCCGTCCTGGGGTGTCTGGTTTATCACACAGACATTGCCTACACTGTGAGCTGCATGATAGCTGTCATTGATTCTAGTTGCCATTCCTGTTGTTGATAACCCTTGCTTGGGTTTATTACACCTTAAGACCTATCATAACTGTTTCTCCACTTATAATGTGCACATTGACCTAGTAATGATAGACTCGGTGACCTTAGTCCTTCGCTGCATGGGTTATCTCATAACTCAATCATTGCCACTTGATAATCAGTCAAAGACTTTTTCCCATTCAGGTAACAAAAAGGTTTCTATGCTAACAAATATCTTTAAAGCCTTCATCATTGTGCTGTATGTTACACATTTAATCTCAAATTGTTTCAAAGAGTTCCATGTGACAGAAGTACACATATTGTTTGTCTAGGGATACGAGGGGGCCCATGCCATGCTGGAGGAGGACCGTAACAACCTGCTGGGTATACCATCGCGCTCAGACATCAGGGACCACTATAGACCGCAACCTTCACGTACAGCACTGCATCGCATGCAGTGCTTCCTGTCCAAAACAAATGAATGTTGCTACCAAATACTGAGCCATGCCTTCCCCTCACTCTCACATGACCTCTACCACATGCCTCACCTGGCTCAATATCTCATAGACACTGTGATGCACAACCTAGAGGTGAGCTTATACATTTTTTTAATTTAATTTTTTTCTTGAAATTTGTCTTTCCCATTTTAGCTCAGAAGTAAAGAGTCTAAAACCAAGTGAATGCACAGTAGACACTGTCGTTCGGACACCTCGGGACTGGACTCTTGTTAGAACTGAAAAAAACAGTAATTAGCAGGGCTGCTTTGAGAAATGAGAGGTTTTAGGTTTGTTGGGGGCGCACGGGAGAGAACAATTCTTCCACAATGTAGGTGTAGAGGGGCAAAATTATCTCTCAGGCCTATAGCACATCAAATCCAAATCGCTGGCCTGGTTGTTAGAAGTTGATAGAAAAATGAATGAATAGGTTCTGTTCTAAGCAGCAATAAAATCCATACAGTGCTGGACAAACAAGTACTTATAAATTAATCCGTGTAAATAATACAATACATTTTTTTAAATAATCAAACATGAACCAAGTCTGGCTTCAACACCTACAATAATGTTTTATAAGTTTGATGAATTCAATATTTTACTTGTGCAAAAGTTCTAACACTGTACAAAAAGATAGACAAATAAATCTTTGCATTTCTTTCACTTTCCTATGTTAAAGGAGCAAAGTAACCAAAGACTGTATATTTTGTTGAACTTTTTTTAAAGGTAGGTACTGCTTTAACCTTGTATTTTCCCAACCAAATAGGTATCTGGACTGTGTGTGGAACTTACCAAGCAAGGGGTGTACCAGATTGAAATGTACTGATAGAAATTAGTGGCTGGCACCAACCCAAACACACAGTATTGCTGTTATGGACTTGAATATGTCACACCACTGAGTGAATTAGTGGCTGGCACCAACCCAAACATACAGTATTGCTGTTATGGACTTGAGTCTGTCACACGACTGACTGAGCCACCAAAAAGTACCACATTCATAATACTAACTAAAACAGACTGACAACTGATGTTTCACTAATAGCAGCTTAACTTATTCCTAATTGTTTGAAAATATTTACCCAACAAAGTTATCTGATTGTTCACCGTGAACCTTGAATATAAAATCAAATATTGCTGCTTAAACTTTGGTTGTAGCTTTGCTGTTTTGGGTGATATGAAATTTGTTTGACAGAACATCCCAGACTACCGACTCAGAATATTATTGAGGAGGTTCTTCAAGCCTTTTTTCGCCAGCTGTCCGTCCGACTGCTATGACACTGTCCTAGTTCCTGTACTCGCTCGATTTACTCCTTTCAGTAAGTATAACTGAACTGTGGCAGTACATACTAGTTTAATTGTAATTGAAGATGATTTCTGCTTTGCTTAAATAAAAGCTCGGCTGGGCCCAGCCTGAGTTTGAACTGAAAATTATTTCTGGCTCAAATCAATCACTCAAGCCATTTTTTAAATGAACTAGACCTTAAAGTAACGGGAATCCTTAGATCCCTACCATAAATGTAGAAGTTAATGGCAAAAAAAAAATTTTATGTTCGAAATTAGTGTTTTCTTTTATTAAATGAACAATTTTGTTGGACTAGCTCTTTTAATGTTCATACTTAAGTTTTAGAGAAAATGATTTTACCATGAGCATGTTAGAGATTATCTCACTTATTTTGTTATAATCAGCAGTCCAGTAGTTATGTTTATTTATTGAAATATTTTTCCAGTGTTTTTAAGGCTGGACACCAAATGGCAGCACATTATTGAGCTTCAAGATTCTGGTTCAACAAACAAGAAATGCACAGATGTTGAGGTGAATTACATTTCTAGTGTTTACATTTTTTTTTACCGATCCTTGACAAATTATTTTAGTAGACAATTAAGAGAGAACCTTTTTGTTTATGATTTTCTAAAAATAATCTTTTCGACCTACAGGGTTTCTTCATTTCTGGTTTTCCTTTGAAATTATGCAACATATGTTGTAGAAACACTTAATAGTTAAATATCCTTGTTAAAGTCTAAAAACCCTCCGACAACTTGTCAAAACAGTGATTTTTTCATCCGAAGCATCTAATAGAAATCTTAATTCCATGTTGAATAATACAATACAAATCTGAAAAAATCTATCTTTGTTGTAGCTTTAAAATAACTGCAATGCATCGACTTGTTATCCCTGAAAATATGCAGATAAAATGCTAAACCATCATATGCTCAACTGAATCTTACAAGTCCTTGGAGGCTAGCAGCCATCTTGGATAATTAAAACACCTGCTGATGAGTTATTTATTGTCCAAAAATATTTTGTCAAACACCAAAGTGATCATAATTTTTATATTTAGTATACTGTGAATACTAAATATACTAAAAATACTAAATAGAAATGTTCATTATAGTTTTGGATTGTTCTCCAAGGGTGTCCATGGAAGCTAGCGGTCATCTTGGATCTGCCCGCTAGAAGAGCAATGTTAATTTTGTTAATTTTAAACAGCCGCTGAAGAGTTATTTACCATTTCAAAATATTTTTTCAAACACCAGAGTGATTGTAATTTTAATATCTAGTATACTATGGGATTTGAAATTGTCTTTGTAGTTTTTTAATTGTATAACGAGTTAAAACGTCCAGGCTCCAAGGACTCTTAATGACGATTTTGAAAAATCATTATTCCCTTTTGTGCATTTCCAAAACAGATTACACTCTAAAGGATATTTTTCTAAACTGTAACTTTATCCTTTCAATAATTTTCCAGAATTAATGGTAAACTTAACAGTTTTTGAAATTCTTATTAAATTTTTTTTAATTCAAACATTTGTAAACAAAATATAATTTTTGTTTCAAAACTGTTTATTTGAACTATAATTTTACATTCTGAATAGTGACAAAAATAAATTGTCATATCTCTGTCTGTAGTAAAAACTTTCACTAACAAAACTATGCTGACATTCATATTTTTGATTTGATTTGATTTGATTCTCAAATCTTGCAACGTCGTGGTGGTGGTAGTAGATCCAGTTAAATATAACTATTTTAGACGTTTTGCAAGTGACAATGTTGTGCTTGCAACAAAACTTGTCAGCAAAATTTTGTGGACAAAACCTGAACTACAGGCAGAGGTGAGGCCTAATAAATGGATTGTTTAAAAAATTATTATCATCATTCCCCCAGGAGGTGTTAGAAGACATGTTAATCAGAGAGCTGACCAGGAAATACCTGAAAGTGTTGAAGTTAGCTCTAATCAAAGACTCAGTGAAGTCCAGTAACTCCGACTCCACCGCCATGGAGCAGGACTGTGAAGACCAGAGGCCAGTTCACAGTTCTACCGAGGTCATCAGCGAGCTAGGACTGCGTTTGCTGCAATGTGACACAACCTGCCAAGCTGTCACACTGTGCCTTCTCAGGTGAGTGGTTCATGTGTACCAAACCATGGTATTAGTAATAATTAATTAAATGATAATACGTGTAATAAGTAGGAATGGATATACAACTATCTTAAGGCAGTTGTTAGTACACAAAAAGTATATACGGTGTGTTCAAAAAAGGTGGGGACATAATTTAGGTAGTGTTTCCTTGGGTCAAAATAAAGAGAAAAGCATGAATAAAACTTTTTGCAAAATCACTTTGTTAACGAGATCAGATATCGACATTTTGTTTCTTACATAAATATTTTTATCTTTAGATTATTTTATGTATTTTTTCAGTGGCAAGAACTAGAATATTTAATTTTTTGAACTAAGTTACCTTAAGCCTTTGTTCATCTCGACTCCCTGAAGATGCCACACACTTTGGTGATATATATTGAAGAAATATAACTTCATCCTGCAAGAATAAAGGCTTAAGGTAACTTAGTTCAAAAAATAAAATATTCTAGCTCTTGCCACTGGGAAAATAAATAAAATCATCTTTATAATGGCCCGCCAAGCCAACCCAGTTAAACATCTTATTAGCCTACTCACAAATAAAGAAACTCAACTCATGAATACAGAACTTAACATAGACTTCAACAAAATATGCAAGAGACTATCAATCACACCTAACTATGTATCTATGAAAATCAAAAACAAATCTGAAGCAGTCAAAAAATACTTAAAACAAGCTAAGCTTATCTGGACAAATAACGAAATCAATGAATGAGCTGTTAAGATTCTTTAATGCCATTTAAATATGAGTACTCATAAGGTTAACATGGGAAACTCCAGAGCCACTGGGGCGGAGCCCATTTGACGGATCTGCACCAAACTTCACACAAACCATCCTTGAATAGTGGTTAATAATGCCTGAAAGTTACATTACAATCTGTCAAGCGGTTTCGGAGTCCATAAAGGACAAACAAACAAACAAACATGCATTGGATTTTATATATATATATAGATAATTAAATTTCTTTGTTTATTTATAATATTGAAGTATCTACCAAAATTTTGGGAAGGCCCGGGCCTACCTGGCCTGTCCTCTGGAGCCGCCCTTGCTGAAGATACCAGGAAAGTGTTGTTCTACAGTGTTGTTCTGTTAGGGTGAAATATCTAATTACTTTTGTTGAGAACTGTTTGTGTTCTATCTTTGACTTTTTAGTAATGACCTTCTTGATCAGAAGTAATACTTCTTATTTTTGGTAATGTAGTAAACATCTCATAAATATGGACCATTTGTAAAAAATTTCTATCCAAAATTACATAGTTAAGCCACTAATATATATCAATTATTTATTTATTTAATATATGTCAATATGTCACCAAATGGTTCATCACTATGAATAAAAAATTTTAATTTACCTTTACCTACGGTCGTTTTTTTAAAGTACCGTAGCCGTTTCAGTTTAGTTCTTAGAAGTGAAACATTTCACATAACAGCATTGTTTACTAAGATAAAAGCATAGTTTTACTTAAATTATATTTATAAATTATATTTAAATATAAATATAATTTAAATTAAATTAAATTATATTTATATTTTACTTAAATTAAATTTAACAGGTAACGGACCAATGAGGTTGAAGGATTGGGAGAAAAGAAGTAAAATTGTAATGCTTCAACTAATCAGCAGTTTACCAATCTAATTGTTAACGATTGGTGCAATTTGTGATTGGTACAATGAGTCGTTGCATCAATGTCAGTGGCAATGATAGATTATAAACAAAAAAACACAACCTCTCTTAGAAGTTTTGAGTAGTGATTATTAGTAGTTTTTAACCGGTTGTAAGTAAAGTAGTGTAGGCAACTCGCATAAATAGTGTTAACGACACTCTTAAAAGTTTTTAAGGCCAAGGCTCGTTTCTTGAATTTTCTACTCATGTCGCTAAAACTATCTTTACGCGATCATTGCGTAAACTACCATAGCCTCACCTCTATGGCCATTGAGACCTCAGTAGGGTTTTGCAATTCCTTACACCAAGGAAAAACAAATCTTGGATCAAAATTGTGTAATTATTTCAAATCATCAACATCAATTTAGCATCTCCTTTCCACTCCCAGCCACCCAAGTGGATTGATAACCTCAGCTCTCCAAATAAAGCTCTTCATCTGGCACTGGTTGATGATTCAGCATTAAGTCCTCTTTCACACTCAAAACTCAAACTCTTTATTAGTACCAAAACAATCTAGTCCTTCCAGCAGGTCAAATGCATGATAGTTTGAAACCTTGTCAATAATAAACCAGTTTTAGTATTTTTTTTAGATCTTGCCATTTCTGGTACTATTTTTCTTATTCTTCTAACTATTCTTGTCCTAAAAATCTCTCTATGTCCCGTTTGATGAAGATTTTTGGAACTCTACATTTATATAATGTTATAACTAGTGGAATCTTGATAACAAAACTTTCTATATTAAATCACCCTTGATAGATAACACAAGTTCATTTTTCAATAGCCCTTGATTTTTTAACCACTTTATTATTATTTTATTATTTATCAAAGTACAAAAAAAGTTTTACAAATAAGTTTCCAACAAGCTGCAAAATCCTTACAAGGCTAGTTTGCAGCTAACCGTAGATAACAAATCATATTTGTTCCAAAGTCTGAAAATCCAACAGTCAGCGGCATTTGTCTTCAATCTTAATTTAACAAACTTTGTGAATTTTAACCACAGCTAAGAATATGCGAAGTATAAACAATAAATATGCAAAAAAAAAAAATATATATATATAACTAATATTCTTTTTTGTTGATCCCCAAAAGAGGTTCTGCTGTATAATTTAAATTTTGTTTTTCAACGTTAAATTTGCTGTCTAATATCTTAACAATTGCTGTTCAAAATATATTTTAAATTCTGGAAACATTTATCAATGTTGTGTTTGGCAGTGCATTGTCATATAATGACTCAGAAAGCAGTGCAACAGCGGCATGCCTGGTAGGGCCAGTCTTGAGCCAGCTGGTGGTAGGTGGAATGATGAATGCCGAACTTGCTTCCAACTCCATTACCTCAGTGCTACAGGGTCTGCAACTCCATGCCCAGCATGAATATAATGAGTTCAGTCTCGTTATGGTGGGTACGCAACTGTATGAGCTGCTGCGTCCCCTGTACCCGCAAGTTCTGGAGGTGAGTCCTAATGGTCAAGTATCCTAATATCCCCACAATGGGATAAATATAATATTTAATAGATTCTCTGCTAATGCTATTGTACTAAATGTGTGGCTGGATGTACTGCGCTAATTCAATTCATACTCAATCCAATTATTTTCATACTCAATAAATTGTAAAATATTTAAATACAGTAGAATCCCCACGTGATAACAGTTATTAACCCTCGAGCGGACGCTTGCGGAGTTTTCCTCCGCACTTGTAGTTTTTTGTTAGTATAAATATGCATAATGGGTGTCGGCAGGCGTGTCTAGCTCTACACTTCACTCACCTTATCCTAGGAATGCCCCTAAGCTATTTTTACCCCACGAATTCCTTCTCATTTTGTTGTCAGTTTGATTCAGTGACGCGGTGTCAGTTTGCGGAGGTGTACTCCGCGTGCACCCTATCGCGCAAGTCCTTAGCGCAGAGTGTATTTCCTCATGCATTATTGTCAAACTGTGTGTATATTTTATACATAGTCAAGTCAAGTCAAGTCAAATCATCTTTATTCACAATATTCACACATAGTACATGAGAATAGAGTCAAATCAAAAACATAATATTATGACTATGATTAAGAGTTTAAAAATCCTCAAACGAGTACAGTGGTTTGTGGAAGGTAATTTTTCAACAAATTCTTAAATTTATTGATGTTATTTTCAGTTTTTAAAGAAATAGGAAGTCTATGTGTAAGTACTTTGCTCCAATATATGAAGGTTTTTTTATAAAATGTTAATCTATGGTGAGTGGGTATGACGGTATTTTTTTTTTCGCGTGTTATATCGGTGAGACTGCACAGTGTTCTGTTTTAATGGATTATGAATTGCTATTAAGACCGTGTCGTAAATATATTGTCCATATACAGTTAATATTTTTAAACTTTTGAAATACTTTTTTGCTGATTCATCAGGATTACAAAATATCAACATGAATACAAAATTAGATAGATAGATAGATAGATAACAGTGCTTTATTTTTCTGAATAGTTTACAAATTTACAAATTGTATTCTTTGTATGCACAAAAGACAATAGTCATTTGACCGTCCCACTTCCACTATCGAAATAAAATCAACACTGCACTGATATAAAAAATAACAAACATAAAAGCACTCACTTAAAAGCTAAAATAAAATTTAAACTAATTTACATTCGTTCCTATTTTTGAACAGCACCAAGGAATCTAATCTATTGCCTACACATACCTCGACACATACTAATACACCTACCTACACATCATACTAGGCTATACTGTAAATACATACATACACACATACAAACATACAGATATATATTCTAACATACAGTTTTTAGAGTTAAACCAAGAATTTCCTTATACAGGAAACAGTTAAATAATAAATCTTTGAGATAAAAAATATCATAATCCTACCTAAAAACTAACTATTCATTTCTAATTTGTTACTTTGTAAAGAAGCTTTTTTCCTGGTAATGTAAGAATGCTGAAACATAAAAATATTGCTCTAATAACATGAAAGAAAAAAAACTGAGTATATGATTGGTGTGATTTATTATCAAAAAGCCTAGTATACGGTAATGTTTAAACTGCTTAATTCATGTATGCTTATTGTCTCACCTGTATTTCAGAAGATTACCCTTGATTCGAGTACCTTTAGAACAGAATATTCTCATCAAGCTATGATTTTTTTCAATTAAATTCACTTATTAGCTCCCGCCTACGGACCCAGGCTAGTTTAATAACGTTACCCAAACCTCGCCAATCCCTCCCATTTAGATAAGATAAAACTCATGATAATCAATAGTTAATTTTTGTAAATGACATTTTCTAAGGTCTCTAAACACGGGACACCTTGCCACAAAGTGAAAAACAGTTTCATTTTCATGCAGGTTACACAAAGAACAAAAATAGTTTTTATCAACCACCCAGGGTTTATAATTTAAATCTAACATCTCCCCTCTACATTTCATAATCCATGAAATTGTAACGATATCCCTATTATCAGAAAGAAAAGTTCTATCGCCAAGATTGAAGTCCAAATCTATAAATTAAGAGTGAAACGCCTATGTACGCACTCTGCCAATAAATTCCGCCCTCCAGTTATCTCTCAACGCACTCACAACGCTCATCAGCTGGACCTCGACCTGACCTTGCGCAAAGTCTACCGGCAAACCTAACTTGTCACCCAATAATTTCCAGTCACAGTACCAATACACTTTTCTCCTTATCACTTCCCTTGCTCAAATATTTGGCAAACGATCTGCATCCAAACACAACACATTTAATAAATATTTTGGAATAGTATGGAATTGTAATTTGTCTAATCCTGACTCCAAATACAGAAAATAATTAGGTGTATTATTTGGCAACCAAAATAGTTTTTTGATAAACCATCTCTGAACTGATTCCACTGGATCACAATCTGAATATCCCCACACTTGACCCGCATAACACAAAATAGATTTTATTATTGAATTGAAACATACAAAGTTAGAATTCAACGGAACTTTATTATTATTTATAAAACTACTCCACATGGCATTAATAGCTAATTTTGCAGCAGCTGACTTATCATTTAAATGCTTATCCCAGTTAAGAGTTGGTGTTAAAACAACTCCTAGATATTTTTAGGAATTCACTATTTCAACAGGCTGACCTTTGTACCACTAATTATTGTTTCTTGCCAACCTACCACCTTTACGAAATACTATGATTTTTGATTTATATGCAGGGGCAAGACTCACTTGTAGGTTCCAAATATCGCAGTAGGCCTCTAAATTAGTTATCATTTGCTGTAACACTGTGGCTGTTGGTGCTATCAGTACAACATCATCGGCATACATTAAAATATTTATTCTCTTACCTCCAACTAAACAGCTACCTCCTAAAAATTCTGGCAGGTCGTTAATAAATAATGAGAATAAATTAGGACTGGCAAGGCATCATTGTTTTAAACCTATTGTTGATTCAAAACTGTTTGTTATGCCACTTTTACACCACACTGAAACATTGTTACCCTCATAAAGATTTTTTTAAATTCTAGAAAATTTTGAAGAGACCCCTAAAGAAAATAATTTAAAAATTAACGAATCCCTGTCTATTGTATCAAAAGCTGCTGTAAAGTCGACGAAAAAGCTAAATAATTTTTGTTTATTTAAAGATAAAGCTTAAATTTACTATACATGATAGGTTGAACACATTATTAATAGAATAACCTTTCCTGAATCCAGCTTGAAATTCAGAAATTACTTTTATTTCCTTCTATCCACTCATTCAATCTAAAATTTAATAAACTTGAGAACATTTTACAAACACAGTCGATAAAGGAAAGACCCTTGTAATTTTCTACTAAATTCACATCACCCTTATTGTGTAGAGGTAATACAATAGATTTTTTAAAACTTTCAGCTACCTTTCCGTTGTTGTACATATCACTATATTCCTTTAACAATTTGTAAAGAAGAGAGTCAGGAGCATTTAAAAAAAATCATATGGCACCCTGTCATGACCAGGAGTCTTATTTTCTTTTAGTTGTAAAAGAATGGTTTTCAACTCAAACATACTGAAGTCCGCATCTAATATCTCGTCTGTTATCAAAGGTTGCGCATAACTGATACTTGCTGATAACAAATGTGGGTTGAGTAAATTTTTAAAATGCAATACCCAGTTTTCAGGGGCGATATTTCCAACAAGTTTAACTTTCCCACGCTTAAAACTATTCAATGCAGACCAAAATAATTTTGCATCCCCTCTATCATTTAAATCATAGATAGTTTTCTCTAAAAAAAATCTTTCTTTATTCATACATAACTTCTTGAACTGCTTACAAACTACTAAATATTCGGACTTAACAATTTCACAAGTTTTACGGAATTCATTTAATAATTTGAATTTACGCCACCTCACAGCCAAACATTCGTAATCAAACCACTTTTGCTTCCTATTAAAATTTGAATCAGGTTTAGTCGATTGTTTATTCTGGGCCGAGTCAATAATGATTTTAATAATGTTATCTACATTCTTTTGACTGTCCTCATACAATTGCAAGCAACTGACCTTCCGATCCACTCTCGCGCTGTAAAATTGTTTACAATTATATGACCATCTGAGTTTTGGCATTAAAGGTAATATCTGACCACACTCGTCCCTCAATTACATATCTTTCACCTTTAAACAAACCTCAATGGGCATATGATCCTGAAGAAGTAGGTTCTTCTTTAACTATTTTTGTTACTTTTATGATAAAATTATTCAAGAAACTGGTAGAAAATAGAATTTAATAAGCATGATAAAAACATAAGTGTATGAATTATAAAAACCAGGAATGAACTCCTAGGTAACCATGGAAACTTATTAGAGTAAACAAAAACAAAATGTAAACTGTTTAAAAAAACAAACCATTGTCCAGCTGGTTGCACTCACCACAGTACCCCCCTGTTAATGATTTAACCTAAGTAAATCATGATACTTGAAATCGTACAGGAAAGCGTACATGTCTTCCAGATTTTGTCTTAATCGCAGGTTTTAATTCGCTTGAACTTGTCTTGGGTGGTTGTTCGGTATTATTAGGATCATCCATGCTCGATTTGTTGCTTTCTGTCCTGTTTGATGCACACCCATCATTCTTGTATTCAGTCCAAAAGTATGCCGGTTTGAGTCGATCCATCGATACCGTGACATTACAGCCTTTAATCACCACAGATCCGATCCCTCCCGTATGGCTCAACACTCTAAAACCTTCTACTAAATGTAAACAATTAATAGACACAGCAGCTAGGTCAATGACAGAAGAACCCATGGCCCCAATAAAAGTATACTCCCCACAAGAATCCTCAACAGATCTACCATTTATTAAACCTAAATTATCAAATAAGTTTAAAATTTGTCTACCCCTGCAATTCAATATTTTATCCTTAGATTTACGTGTATCATTGAATATACGATTTATCTCGACTAGGAATAACTCTGTTATTTTTTGTTCATCCCCCACTCTTCCATTTA